AATTGTTTGTAATATCCTCTTATGATGTTTTATGTCTGTAGGAACTGTAGCGATGTCATCTTTTTCATCCTTGATATTGGTTATTCAGGTCTTCTGTATTTTCTTCTTGATCAGTCCCCATCAGGGGCTTATCGATTTTATTAGCCTATACAAATAATCAGTTATTGCTTCCTATTGAATGTGTGTTCCTGTTTAATTGATTTCAGCTCTCATAATTATTATTTTCTTCCTTTTCTTTGAGTTTACTTTGCTCTTCTCCTTTCTTAGAATAAATGCTTGGGTCATTGTTTTCCAGTTGATTTTTCTTTCTACCTTTGAAATTTTCCTATACACATGGACTGAATGATATTACACGAATTTTGACACATGGCAACTTCATTCTTATTCATTTCAAAATATCTTCTAATTTTCATGATGATTTCTTCTTTGTTCTATAGTTTATTCAGGACTATAATGCTTAATTTCCAAACTGATGTGGATTTTATAGTCATCTTTTGTTACTGATTTCAAGTTTAATTCCACAGTGGGCAGAAAACATGCTATAAATAATTTTAATACTTTGAAATATGTTGACACTTTCTTTATAGCCCAGCATATGGTCAATATTTGTAAATGATCTATGTGCACTTTAAAATTATGTGTATTTTGTAGTTATCTATTAAATTGCTGTTTATGTGTCAATTAAATCAAAGTTGTTAATCATGTTCCTCAAAATCCATGTATTTTCTGATTCGTCTTCTTGCTCTATCACGGAATGAAAAGCAGTATGGGGAGGGCATTGAGGTCTCTATGACTGCAAATGTATCCTTTTCTCTCTTTTGTCCCTTCAGTTCTGCTTCATATATTTGGCTTGATGTTTTCAGTGTTGAAAATTTCTTAGCCATTATCTAGGCAAATATTTTTTCTGCACCTATGACACTGACAAAAGCTCTCCCAAGTCTCTGAGTCTTCCAGCTGCCTCTACCAGAATTGACAGACACTGCTAGAGGAAAAGCATCCGTAAATGTCAGACTCACCTCTCTGCATTTTCTTTTCCTCCTGGAACTTGGCCCAATATTCTTTCCTTTTTTGTGAACTGCAGTAACATCTAACAGATTTTAAAATATACTTTGTCTAGATACATTCATCAGAAGAGAATAGTAAAAATTTCTTAGGTCACAGTTACTAGAAGCAGAAGTCTCCCTTTAAACTTTGATATGCATACTTGACAAAGTATCTCTTAGTCCTGAATAAAGCAGGCTTTAGAAAGATTTCGTCATCATTAATTTAGTCAATGCTTCCTTGTTATCTCTCTGGGATAGTAGATAGTTTATTAGTCTCCATCTCACTAATATTTCAGCCTTCTAAGGGTCCTTGCTTTCTGCAGGAGTTTCAGTCCAACTTCCCATCTTAAATGGTCCAAAGACCCCATCTCTTTTCCCTTTGTGGGTGTAAATAGCCCAGTCCCTGGTTATTACTGGCTATATTAACACCCCAAGGCTGCCAGAGGGTTAACTGACATGTTTACTTCTTTGGCTGTTAGCAACATTTTTTGCTTCTGGCACTTGAGAATTTCTGTCTTGTAAGCTAAGACATGCTGCTTTTAAAATTATTGCATTTGCATTATATTCAACATTTTCTAAGGGTTATATTGAGATGGATTAAGGATAGTCTAGTCTGCCATTTTGCTGATACTGTTCATCTAGTCTTAATACTTTATAAGAAATCACCAAAATGATACACTCCTTTAGACCTAACATTTTTAGTTGTATAAAGCAATAATGCAAAATGTTTGCTTCGAATTGTTTCAGTTTGCTCTGACCTGATCGGCTGTGACCAATTTAACTTTCTAATCTTAGAAAGGCCCTTTCAGTTTAGCTTTCAGTGTCTTGGGGAAGCCACTAAGGAGAACATAGTTACAATCTCAAGTTCACTACAAGAATTGAAATGTCAAATCCAGATTATCAATCAGAGATTCAGAACCAAGGTATAGAAAGGAGGTGCTATTTCAAGATTAACCTACTTGATCTACCATTTATTATTAGGCCAACCCCTCCTTTTTTGTATTTTCCGGGACCTGGACTTTTCTTACAATTTGGTGATCACGCACCCACGTTTCCAGTCACCGTTTTCATTCACCCCTTCCAATCTTGCTTTACAAAGACCGCTTAATCAATATAGCTTTTCCTAAAGTCACTCACTATTTCCAGTATTATACAGGTAACTACTCCCTTATCCTTGTAAAAGTGTCCCCGTTTGCCTTTAGTTACACTATGGTCTCCTGGATTTCCTCCTATCACTCACTGCCCTCTCCCTCCCACTCTCCTCTGATGGTTCCACCTTTGCTACCTTATTTTTAAATCATGGAACCTCAGAGCTCACTTTTGAGGCTCTTCTATTGTTTGTTCTTTAGGGTATCATCCGGTCTCGTGCCTTTAATATCACCTAGATGCCAACGATTGCCAATTTCCTATTTCCAACTTAGTCCGTCAAATTCATATATCCTACTTCTTTTTTAAAAAATTTATTTATTTTTATTATTTTGTTGTTGTTGTTTAAAATATTACAGATGTCTCTCTTTCAAAGAAAAGGGCCACAGAAAATGAGAGTTAATTTATAGATTGAGACAGTTTTTTAAAAATAATTAAAACATGTTTCAGACATAAGGATAGAAGGTGGTCACAATATAAAAAAGGATTGTTAGAGAATACTTACAGCTAGTGCAAATCCATTTTCTAAAAAGCAAACAAGAAAACATGCCTGGTACTAGCAAAAACCTAATGTGGGGAGGGAGTGTTTGGGTTCTAGTTACTGGCACCTAGCTGTGTAATCTTGAGCGAGTTCCTTTATCCCTTTGAGTCACCTCCACTGGAGAAGGGGCAAGAGAATCAATGACTGGAAATATTTGGTTAGAAAGCTTCAAACTGAATAAATGTCCTCCAAAGGGAAGGAAGAGAGGCTGAAAATATAGCAGAAGTCCTGCCGAAGTTTTCTNTCCCTCTTACATTCCTCAGTCTGATCTATGCTTCCATGTCATTGAATCTATTCTGTTCATCAGTTTATTAAGTTCTTTAGATTCCACATAAAAGTGAGATCATGTGATGTTTGTCTTTCTCTGCCTGGCTTATTTCACTTAGCACAATATTCTCCAGGTCCATCCATACTGTCCCAAAGGTTACGAGATCCTTCTTTACAGCTGCGTAGTATTCCACGGTGTGAATGTCCCACAGCCTTTTTATCCACTCATCTACTGATGGGCACTTGGGCTGTTTCCAGATCTTAACTATTGTAAACTGCGCTGCTATGAACATAGGGGTGCATATATTCTTTCTGATTAGTGTTTCAGGATCCTTACAGATATCCCACTTCTTAATTGACATCTTCACTTGGCTATCCATATGTTATCTGAGAGTTAATCTGTTTCATCTTCCACCCTTGTTTATTTATTTTTTAATCCTCACCTGAGGATATTTTTTTCCATTGCTTTTCAGAGAGAGTGGAAGGGAGAGAGAGAAACACACACACACACACATGGATTGGTTGCCTCCCTCACACACCCCAACCAGGGCCGAGGGGAGAGCCTGCAACCGAGGTACGTGCCCTTGGCTGGAACCGAATCTGGGACCCTTCTGTCTGCAGGCCGACACTCTAACCACTGAGCCAAACCAGCCAAGGCCACCCTTATTCTTAATGGCAGCATTACCCACCCACTTGCTTAAGGCAAAACTTTTACTTTTCCCTTTCTTTCATTCCCCATATCCAGTCATGAGGAGGAAATCCTGTTGGATCTACCTCCAAATATATTTCACATCTGTCTAATGGCCCTAGTAGGTGTAAATATTACTTTCATTGTGTAGTTGCACAAGCAGAGATTAAGAGAGCATATTAGTAACTCGCCTAAGTGTACATGGCTTTTATGTAGAGGAATCCATTATTCTTCCAATGAGAACTTCGCTCTCAAAGAATACTTGGGAATAAATTAGTGAACAAATTGATCTAGATAGTAATGAAATCCATAACCTTGGCTTTACCAGAAGAATAGTCTCTCCTACTGAAAAATAACCCTGCTATGTATAGAATAGGAACCTTTGTTACATAGAAAAAGCTTAGTTACATGTAACATAGGGTAATGTGACATCATCACATGGCAATACCTCTTAATATATAAAACCAGTTTAAGAATTTAAGACTATGGAAGGTAGACAACTTGGCTTCCAGAACTCCCTTTGCATCCTTCAAGGATATACGGCCAATTATACCCAAAACCTGTTGCTTTAACCCCCTTTCTCCCCCTCCAGCAAGGGTATCCAATCAAGAAAAGGGCTTGCCGAGCTTTTATGTTAGCTTCTCTACTGTCATAACTTTATTAATAATCAACAAAAACATTTCTCAACAAAAAGTCAAGGGGACAGAGGAGAGAACCTCGGCAGAGCCATTATACACCTTGATGATACAAACTAAATATTGGGTGGCATTTTCAGATAAGAAGACTGTATTTTAAACAACTAAGAGTCATTTTAAGTGCTTGAAATAAATGCAAATATTGTTAGTAAGTTCAAGGACAACAGTTGATTTATCACCATTGGCAGCTTTACCTTTTGTAGATGATGAAATTAATTAGTTATCTTTGCAATTTTAGAACGTCTCTTCCTTAATGAAGTTAGGGCACTACTGTATCATGTGTGTGTTTCCCCCCAATGACTGCTTCTAGTGCCGTAAAATCCCAGCAACATTATTTGCAATCTTAATGAATGTTTAGTGAAACCCACTTGACATTTTTTTGGCATTAACTTCATTTCTAAGCCTTGAATGCCATTATCATTTTATGAACTTCTCAAAATCAATTTGACTTAGAGTTTATTTTATACTTAGAGACTTAACTATCTTTTTTATGAAATTCCTTGTACGTTCACTCAAGTGCTGGAGGTCTTTGTGACATTTGGGTAGTTCTAATGTCTTTGGACATAGTAAATTTTAGTTTTAGTAGCATATGTGAGTATATCTTCTTTGAATTCCCACAGAGCTCTGTACCATGGAGTGTGGTAGCCATGGAGTCTGCTCAAGGGGAATTTGTCAGTGTGAAGAAGGCTGGGTAGGCCCAACATGTGAAGAACGCTCCTGTCATTCTCACTGTGCTGAGCATGGTCAATGCAAAGACGGAAAGTGTGAGTGCAGCCCTGGATGGGAGGGCGACCACTGCACAATTGGTAAGTACCACCATACTTTGAGTAAAGGAAATTGAATTAATTGGAGAAAAGCAGTCTAGTGAGTCAATCACCAGGCTTGTCATAAAATTTGAAGTTGAAGGAGACATGGAGGAGGAGGTTTAGCTATAGTTTGAAAGTGTCGTTAACTGGAAGGCTGAGAGTATCTTACTTAGTTCTTGTGTCATTTCCTTTCTTGTTACTTCAGTATTCCTTTTATTTTCTGCTTTCGAGTACTTTGAGATACTCAAATGAAAGGTGATACAATGGAATAAAGGGTCATCAGTTAATAAGAGAAGTGCTTTTGTTGTGAAGGTTAACATCTGCTGCCCACTTTTCCTTTTGAAAAGTACAGGTTGTGTCAGTTGAAAGCACTTAGAAGCAATTTCATTAAATAGGACGACTTTAGCAGGGGCCACTGGGTCATTAGGTGCTGTCTTTAATGTACATGAGGAAGACACTCCTGACCTGCCATCAGTAGAACATCTGTTTTGAATTGTTTATTGGATAGCATAGGGGGGTTGTACTGAGGCATCCACCCTCTGTCATCCCTTGTCACCAATTTCGCTCATTTTCAGGATGTTGCCTGGGAGAAGAGCCTGTGGGTGTGAGAAAGCTTATATAATCATAATTAACCTGTCACATGGTCTTCACCCTAGGAAAACCACTAATAATAATGAAGGTTTCCATTTTAAAATACATCCTTTTCCTGGAAAAAATATCAAAGCCCTTGACACAGACACATATCTGGCACAAAAGTTTCCTGCATATACAGAGGGACAAAGACGATTTCCATTGTTCAGCTAAGGAAAGTGGGTCACAGCAGAGCTCCAGTGGCAATCCATGAACACGCAGAAAATTCATGCAGAGTAAAGGCAAGCATGGGGTCTGGATACCCAATTTGTTGTTTGTGGGCTCCGCCCCCACTAGATTGCACTACAGCTTCCATTTCTAGGGCAAGGTATTTTGTTATAATGGTTGGAACCTGCCAATGTAATGTGTAATACAGATAATATATATAACATAATCTTAATAAACTGCATTACCACTGTAGTAAAGGCGCAGCAAGTCCTGTTCTGTGACTGTGGAGAATATTTAAGATTCATTAAAAAGGTGGTGAGGGGTGAGACTCAGATGCAGCTTAAGTAATTGCATTCCTGCACTACAGTAAGTTTATTGCCTCCACATAAGAGGATTTGAACATTGTTATGATTGCCCGGCTGGTGTGGCTCAGTGGTTGAGCATGGACCTAGGATCCAGGAGATCGCTGTTCGATTGCCGGTCACGGCACATGCCCAGGTTTTGGGCTCGATCCCCAGCAGGGGGCGTGCAGGAGGCAGCTGATCAATGACTCTCACCATTGATGTTTCTCTCTCTTTCTCTCCCTTCCTCTCTCTGAGATCAATAAAGATATATTTTTAAAAATATATTGTGATTGTTACTAAAGGTGGTTACTCCAGAACTTCCTCTTAAAGATACTGCTAATAAGAAGTTCTGGCTGGTGCTCTTTTACAAAAGTTATTACTGAAACGTAAAAATGCAGTTGTTATACTTTTAATGAAATATGACACTTTTTTAGGAAGCCTAATAGAGTTTCTTGCAGAAAAGCCATTAATATCTTTCCCACAGAAAATATGATTCCCAAACTACACAGGCCAGTGTACCAACTTCTGAGCTGCAGGCAGTCAGCAGTTCACAGTTTGCTGTTCTCCTTCCAGGCAACAGATGGTAAACCATTAGGACATGTTGTATAGCTTTGGTCTCCCAGAAACTCATTTAATCACTCTCTTCCCCCCCCCCCC